GGAACTTCTAAAGCTAGACAGAGTCCCGGCTGCACGCCGCCCTGACTGAGGGCTGCACCCCAACCCTCTGGGCAGTCTACCCAGCGACTGAACTAGGCAGACGTTGTGAACACGCAGAACTCGGCAAGTTATACTGGTTACACCCTGAACTGGGACGCCAAAGCCCATCGCCGAGGCCTTGTCTTGGCGTGTACGTGCACACCACTGGGACATCGACACGAATCTCTCTGCTGGTGGAGCCGGAACGTTCATTCAGGGTGAATGGTTATTTGCACATTCAACCATTATTTTGACAATACATCACGTGTCCTTTATTCTAAAAGCATCCTGGGCTGTGGCTATATGTGTGTGAAGGTCAGACAACAGGCTGTCAGTCTGTGTACGTGTATATGTGTGTGTGAGTCTGCGTGTGTGTGTGTGAGTCTGCGTGTGTGTGTGTGAGTCTGTGTGTGTAAGAGCATGTATGCTTGAGTGCATACGCCTTCTCATGCTTTCAACCTGTGAGCTCTCGATGTTTGATGCATTAATTTCCATCTTGATTGGAAGCTAAAGTGGGCTACTTAAATAAATAGCAGGAAACAAAGCATGCATTTGTCTTTTAAGCATCCATTAATCATTTCTCATGGCTTTTCTAAGAGATGTCAGCTAGGCATTGAATAAAAGATTTATTGTAACATGGATCAGTTAATCAGGCTTTTTCCTTAACTAACCATAGCTAGCCATGCTTGGGAGTTGAATCATTACACACACATGCACACACACAGCTGCATCCACACATTAACATATCTGAATATAAATGTAAGTACATACATATATTTATGTCTATTTATCAAATATTCATTGAGCGGCTGTCATGCACGGGGCATCGTGCTAGCTTATTTATATATGGGCAGAAACTGACAGATTATAAATGGCAAAATTAGACAGAAGGGAATGTAAATCAAATATTCCTACCAATGGTTCAAGTGTTTGACAATACACATATTGAAACATTCTCCGCCATTAGAAAGCCAATCATAAGAAACACTTCCAAATCGAGTGTGAAAGATTTGAGGGCCATCTGCATTCTACACAGTTAGAGCCACTCAGATTCTTTCCAGTTGTGTTTCTTGCCTGCCAGCCCCAGGGCCTGTGCTGGGCACACGTGGGCGTGCGTCCTCACTGGGGCTGACAATCTACTGAGCAATCTCTGAGCCTCGGCACTGCCCACGTCTATGCGTTGCGACCTATGAGCAGAACAGCCAGAAGACCCCTTAGGGGTCACGATGCTGTGACTGCTCCTCAGCGTTAAGCAGCTTCAGGAAAGTGACTTGATCTGTGAAGAGACTGACCCCAGCAAGAGTGGAGCAGAAACTCAACCCTGTCCCAGATCCTCCAGCGCCCCATCCTCTTGCTCGTCCCCTCACACCCCAGGAACTTGAGGCCCTGGAATTTTTCTCCATGTAAATATCCTGGAAGCTGTAAACATTCTGGAAAATGGCCCCTGTGGCCACCTCGGGGTTCAGTTACAACTAGAGCAGCTCCATTTTTATCTGTTATTTAAAGATCCTTTTTATCCTGAAGATGGAGCTGTGCTGTTTGCTAAAATGTATCTTCAAAATCTACAATTTGAAGGAGGGAGAAGAGGTGAGAGTTCAGACTAACCCAGACTCCTCATCTAGGCTCCCTGTCCCCACACGTGACCACCTCCCACTCACAGAGGAGTCACCCGTGCTCGGGGAGCAAGTGACAAAGTGCCCCAGTGGGATAGAGACCAGAACGGAGCCCCAGCTGTTTTGTATTCAGTTCCTTTACTTGCACCTCAAACTTCAAATATATACACCTACTATGTGCCTGAAATCATGATGGAAACAATATGCAAAATGCCACATGTGTTTTCCTTCAGAGGGCAATGACAGTGGACTTTTTTACACAAGTGCCAAACTCAGGAGAGAATATATAATGCAATGCTGGACAACGGTAATTGAAATGACAAGTCTGGAGAAATTCAGAAGAGAACTGCAGGTGGAGGCAGTGGGGACTTGTGAAACTTGAAACACATGTGTTTGAATTCTGGACTAGAGATTAATCCGACTGTTGGCATTACACAAGGCATTACTGGTGTAGTTTCACCATCTATCCACTAGGGGGTGGTAGATGGAGAAGTAGCACTTCTGTTAGAAGCCAACAAAAACACTAATGGAAAAAATAATGCACCCCAATGTTCACAGCAGCATTATTTACAACCGCTAAGATAGAGAAGCAACTTAAGTGTCCATCAACAGATGAATGAATAAAGAAGCTGTCATAAATATTTAGTACATACACATAATGGAATTTATTCAACCATAAGAAAGAATGAAATTTTGTCATTTGCAGCAACATGGATGGACTTGAAGGGTATCAGGAGAAGGATAAATACAGTATGATATCCATTATATGTGGAATCTAAAAAATACAACAAACTAGTGAATATAACAAAAAAGCAGACTCGCAGATGTAGAGAACAAACTAGTGGTCATCAGTGGAGAGAGGAAAGGGGAGGGGCAGGATGGGGGAGGGGACGTAGAGGTACAAACTCCTACGTATAAAATAAGCTACAAGGATATACTGTATGACACAGGGAATACAGCCAGCATTCTGTAATAACTATAAATGGAGTATCACCCTTAAAATCTGTGGATCATTATATGGCACTCCTGTAACATATATTATTGTTTAACCTATATACTTCAATAAGTTTTTTTTAAATAATTTTTTAAAAGATACAACTGTACCACTCTCAAGATGTGTTTCTCTGGGACTGTCTTTTAACCTCTCGAGTTTCCTTATTCATAAAACACCTGTAAAATGGTCTTTGTGAGAATCAGTCTCAGTAAGTGTAGGGCAAAGCAGAATTTGTCTGAGCGTGGTCTGTGTGGATTTGATTCTAATTTGATCAGAATCACCTGAGCACCAATTACAATAATTTTCCTGGTGCATTTTTAATAACCACAGAACCACTGATAAAAATTCAAAACCAAAATTTGTGTTTTTCCTTATTATTGGAAGTCCATTAAGGAAAACTGAAGATTCTGATCCTGAATAACACCAGCATCTGGTTCTGAAGAGTCCGTACATTGTTAGGCTAAAATTGAATTACTCAAATCCTTTCAGGATCTTTCCATTACAGATATTCTTCAGGACTTCACTAGGCCTAAACAGCCTCCATTCTTCCCCAGTTGCTCCCACTGCCTTTGACCCTCCTTCTCCTGTACAGAGCTCATTATGCGGGTTGGGAATCATCAATGTCCCTTTACTTTTCTTTAATAGCTCCATGAAATGGCCCATCTCTGGGTTTCCCTCTGAACTGCAAGTTCAAAGTTAAGCAAGAGTTCAGTGACTTGGGAGATATGTTATTTGCTAGACGAAGGGGGTTGAAAACATGAGCCATTGTCAGGACCCTTGAATTCACCCCCTACCCCCATGGGATGTGTTAGTTTTTATTGGACAGAGAAGACGTTTTTAATGAAACGCAGTCCTGCCCTGGGGAGATCCGCGTGTTTGCACTCTTCTCCCACTGCCTCCTACCCAGGCTGCCGGGCTTGGCTGCCAGCTGTCTGCCACGCGCAAGCCCCAAACACTCCCAAGACCCTCCACCGCCCACTGCCACGTGCCCAGCCCCCAGCCCTGTCATCCAAAGGCTTCCATTCTGTGGTCCTTCCTCACCTTTCAATAGTCTTTCATATTAACTCTTTACGGAGGTCATGCCAGCTCTTCCAAATACGCCATACGCTTTGCAACCTACAGCTGGGCCTCTGCGTACGCTTTTTCAGAAGCCTCTGATGTCCTCACTGTGTGTGTGTGTAAAATAATCCTATTTCAGATATAACTTAATCCTATAGGTTTATACTAAGTTTTTTTTTTTTCTCAATGTTTGGAGTTTCAATGGTTCTCCTTTTAGCTCTGTACTCTCATCAAGGTTACTGTCCGTGTGTCTCCTTTGGGGCACATTTC